GCTAGTAGAAGTACTGAAAGGGTCCCTCTTATCTTGGTTTCATTTTGAGTGACTCTAGCAGCATTTAGCATTAACACTGGACCAAGACAGGCCAGCCTTGCAGCCAGGGTTCTGGGGGGTTAAGAGAGGGAGAGAAAAGATAGATCCAAGAGGAGTCAGCGGCCCTAGAAACTGGGAGACATGGGATCTTTCCATTAAATTGAGGCATCAAGGCTGTCTGAAAACGAAGGCAGGAAAGACCTAGAGGAGGCTTAGTGGTATGGGAAGTCAAGGTTGCCTAATTCACCCCAGGGAAAAATGTTACTAAGAATCACCCCTTCTCATTTTTTCTCTTGGGAAGGCTAACCAAGGAAAGATTTGTCCTTGGGCTGACCTCTCCCCTAGGGAGAATACCTGAAGCATGCATAAGGAACGGCAAAGTCCAAAGAGCTCCCAGAACAAGCAGACAAAACTGCAGACAGATTGCTGGATTATTAACAGTGGGCCCTGCCAAAAGAGCCCAGGGTCTGCTTTGCTAAACCACACTTATTGCATGCTGATTGCCAGCTATATGCCAGACACGATTACTGTTTTAGAGGGTAAAAGGGGCACAGATGTGTGCTACCTGCTGGGGCCTGGGCTGCCAGAATGTTTTGTAGATAGCCTGGCCCAATCACCTGGCTCCCTTTCCTTTGTAAAACCAGTCTCCTGCTCACGGGCTGCTGATGTTATGTCCTCTGAGACCCAGGACCCACCTGTTTGTTCTGCTCTGCCCTCATGCTCCTTGGATCCCTTCCCCATGGGTACAACTTTGCTGAGGGTATGAGAAAGGAGGACAGAGAATACTGGTTGGATTTTTCTCTCTTTTCTGAATACTCTACCTTTCCCACAAAGCCCAGTTTATCTGGGGCAGGAGTTCTTAACCTAGGGTCTGGGAACTTTAAAAATATATATTTTGCTAACTGCATTTCAATATAATTGGTTTTATCTGCAATCTTTTCTATTTTATGCATTTAAAAAAGATAATTCTGAGAAGGAGGTCTTTATTAGACTGTCAAATCATAACACAAAAATGGTCAAAAACAGACCTTCATCTAGTTTTTGATGCTACTCTTCAAAGGAAATAAGTCATTCAATTCAACAAGCATTTATTAGTGCCAACAGTATACATGACATCAAGCTAGGCACTCCAGGGATGAAAGACGAAAATGAAACAGTCTTCGAACTTAAGGAGCTTACACTCAGTTGTGCAAGACACAGGTTATAGTGACCGATGAAATTCAAAAGTCAAAACTATACTATACCAATAATGGATACAGAGGCATAAATGGGACTGTGTTTGGGGATACCGAAGGAGGGAATGGTACTGGTAAGGGAACTAGAATACACACTTAAATATTTTCTTCTATGATTCAAAGGAAAATGTAAATTAAGCTGTTATCCTATTTTTCTGGGTTAAATATTGCTGTTGTTTGTCCTTTGTTCTCAGAGAGGACCATGACATCAGGAAAGTGATGCCATGACTTGCAAGTGATTTGGATTTAAGTGAGGGAGGGCTGTGTAAAGTCACCAGCCTCACTTTTTCCTCTGGAGCCATCTGGGTATGAGATATAGATCAGGATGACTGGAGAGGCCCCCCGGGTTAAATAGTAGGGGAGGATGAACAGAGGGGATACATACACAGAGCTTTAAAGGAGCTGAGGTTCTATGAAAAGGGTACCCTGTCAACTAAGTATTGTAATAGATCAAGGCCCACTGGAGGTTAACTGAGTTAAAAAAAATAGAAATAACAGAAAAAAATAGAAAAATAGAAATGGAGACATTCTATGAGCTGATTACTAATTATACAATAGACTAGAAAACCAGGATACTAATCAAAGAGTCATCACGTCGAGGACGAAACCTAGCGAAGAAACCTAAAGCAGCTGCCCAGGAAAGACTTTGGTATAAGGGAAGTTCACAAAGGAGCTAGAAGGTCTAGAGAAAATGGGATACTAGAGGAGAATATGTATCTCTCTACAGTGTGTGTGTGTGTGTGTGTGTCTGTGTGTGTGAAAGAGACAGACAGACAGACAGACATACAGAGAGACGGGGGAGGGGGGAGAGAGAGGGAAGGAGGGGTCGAGAGAGAAAGAGAGAGAGAGAAAGAGAGAGAGAGGAAGAGACAAAGAGAGAGACAGACTGAGAAAGAAAAAGAGAGAGAGAAGAGGAGAGGAGAGAGGAAAGGAGAGGGAAAGAGAGACAGAGATGGGAGGAGTTCCACACTTCTTTTTGTCAAGAAGCAACGATTTGGAAACAAAAGAAAATGAGGCTGAATGCTGGATCAGTATGAGAGAAATAACAGTAGTCAACATAAATGGAATGGGGATATGAGTCCTAACCAAAAGTCACCAGGTAAAGGAGTAGCCCTAGCATGATTATTGAAGGCAATGTCCTAATTGTGATCAGACAGCCTTATATGGGCACCACCAGTTAGGTTATCTTTGAGTTTAAGGTGGAAGTAAACAAAGACTCTGGACTCAGCTTTGCTACCAAGTCCTTCCTGAATGGTGCCATGTTTTGAATCATAGATTGTTTCAAGAGTACTAGAATGAGCTGACCATATGCAAAGAGACCTGTGAGGATGGAGTGAATGAATGAAAAAAAATTATGTGAATGTGCAAGGCACTATGCTAGGTGCTAAATACGAATACAAGGGGCAGCTAGGTGGCTCAGAATGCTGGGCCTGAAGTCAGGAAGACTCATCTTCCTGAGTTCAAATCTGGCCTCAGACACTTACTAGCTATGTGTGACCCTGGGTAAGCCACTTATCCCTGTTTGCCTCAGTTTCCTCATCTGTAAAATGAGCTGGAGAAGGAAATGGCAAACCGCTCCAGTATCTTTGCCAAAAAAAAAAAAAAAAAAAGAAACCCAAATGGGGTCACAAAGAGTCAGACATGACCCAAACGACTGAACAACAAAGATAACAACTACAACTATAGACAAACAAGACAGTCTTTACCTTTAAAGAGCTTACATTGTAATGGAGAAGATAACACATATAGGGGAGTAGCGGCTTGGGATATATGTTAGTGAATGGTAACTGGAGTTATAGGACAAATGATTGACATGTCCTTTCCAGGAATGACAGCATGGATTTAATTACTATTCTTAGAGCTAGCATTGAGAAAGCGTTTGGGTTATGTGCCCGGCAGCATAACATGGAGGTGGCTGGGAAGTCGCATCATGGACTGAGACTGACTCACCAGTGAGGACCCAGAGAGTCGCAAGGGTGGTACCTTCAGTTCTGAATTGAGGTAGAGCTGGAGAGCAGGCAGCATGGCATAAATATAGAAGGTAGTATTTTTTATTTAAAAAAAAAGGTAGGAAACAAGGAAAAACTGTCAAGATGGGGGTGTGCTCAACTCCTATAGACTGCAATTTCTTGAATCTAGGTTTTAGGAGACCACTAATGCAGTAGGACCTTGGTAAAGTCATAATCTCTGTACCTCAGTTTCCTCATCTGTAAAATAGGAAGATTGGTCTCCAAGATCTCTTACAGCCCTAAACTGGTCATCCCAAGAAGCTAATTTTAAGGTTTGAAGATAGAAAGTTTCTGAGGCATTGAGAAGAATGTCTAGTCTTGAGGGAGCCATAAGAGGTATTTTAGTTAGCAACAGTTCGGATTTCTGACGTGCTTTAACATTTTTAAAAAGTCAGCTAAAAATGAACGCAAAAAAAAAAAAAGATACAAGAGAGAGCTTTGAGCTATTCCATTTAGTTAATACAAAAACTTTTATTCTTTGAGATAAACATACTGTACCAAAGCTGTTGCTGATGGCTCACTTTATCTCAGTAAGAACACTTCTGCCTCAAACCACTGGTTTTTAGAGCTGTTTGGGGGAAGTGAAATTCACATTTTGCTTCTACTCTTAAACAACCTCCAGCAGACTAACACGCAAACCACCAAAGGCTGGCTTTGGTTCATAGTCTGGTAGACTTTCTTCAATGCCTTATCACATGGAAAAATATTATCATATGTGGAGCATGTTATCATTGAAAATGCTGACATGTACCCTAAGTACTTCAGAGATAATGTCAACTGTTTTCTTATTTAGAGACCACGGGAGATATTAAGGCAATGTTAAAAGCAAAGGGGAACCCATTCAAGGTACAGCTGAAGGCCTGGAATCTTAACAGCACACCATCCTCATGAGTTTTATCCTGATACCCTGGTGGGACTAAGAAGGGGTCTGATGCATCATGCTCTACTTAGAGAGATTATAAAAACAAAAAACACAAGGCAAACCTCTGTCTGTGACGTATGTTGGTATGTTGAAGGCTGTGATGTTTCTCAAAGGAAATAGTCTTGGAAATGCCATAATTACTCTTAATGGCTGTACTCCTTAAGCTGGTTTTGCCAAGGGTGAAGGTAACCATTACGGGAGCGTGAAATGGAAGATTAAACAAATGCTACATTATGATATTCAAAAATGATACTTAGATGGACACTCTACTTTAAGAGGTATGTCTTCTACCCTCTTAGATATATAAAGCAGTTATAGGAGCAGGGATGTGAGTGTGGGGGCCCAGCTAGAGGTACCCAGCCAGATACGTATTTGGTAGGAGGTAATTCTTAGCCACAGCCAGAAGAAGAATACCACCATGGGTCAATTCCATCATAGTGACCACAACTTTCAGAAGCAATGACTGAATGCATCAATTCCGGCCCAGGATCAGCCAGGAAAGCCTATCTAGATTGCAGCCCTTAGGAAAAAAGCAGAGCCCCTATTTCCCTTCTCCAAGGAAAAGGGTTGTTGTTTAGTCATTTTCAGTTGTATCAGACTCTTTGTGACCCCATTTGAGGTTTTCTTGGCAAAGATACTGGAGTGGTTTGCCATTTCCTTTCCAGCTCATTTTACAGATGAGGAAACTGAGGCAGAGTTAAGTGACTTGTTCAGGGTCACACAGTTGTTATTGGTTCTTCATTCACAGCTAGTAAATGTCTGAGGTTGGATTTAAACCCAGGTCTTCCTGATTCTAGGACCAGCACTATCCATTGCACCACCTAGCTGCCCCAAAAGGAAAAGGGAGGAAGATTTATTACTCTTCACTTGCTTTTTCTCCATGAGGTAAAGTTCCAGAAGTAAAAATCAGAATTGGGAGGGACCTTTGAGGATGTTCAGTCTAATTTATATTTAAAACATGTATCCCTTCTACAGAATTCCCCAAATATGGTAATAATGGGTCATCTGGCCTATGCTTAAAGACATCCAGTGAGAAGGAACTCAGTATCCCTCTACGGCATCCCATGCTCTTTATTGTTAGCTACATTTGTAAATGTGGGAATAAGAAAGCATCACAGAGACCACTGGCCTCAACCTGAATGTGAATGAGGATGTACTCTGCAACATACTTGCAGACTGGTTATCAAACCTTTGATGGATGGCTTCTAGCTAGCAGGAACCCACTTCCTCCTGAGGTAAGACATTTCAATTCTAGATGGTTATAATAATAATAATAATAATAATAATAATACTTATGATGATGATGGTAATAACTAGCAATTGATAACATGGGAGACATTGGCATAGGTCTGCCCAGCATGGCGCACTCTCATCAAAGAAGGTGCCGTGCTCTATAAGCAAAGCAGAATTGAAGTAGCTTGAAAGAAATACAAGATGTACAAATAGAGGTTCTACCCCAAATGTTCACATGGACTATTTATGTCCAACCAGTGATAGAGCATTCCAAGCTTGTATTGGTCTGATCAGCCATAGTCAGACACACAATAACTTGACTCTAACAGAGTGATGTTATTTAAGAACTCTTCAAGAATGAAGGATAACACCCAACCAACCAACCAACCCACCAAAGGAAAGATTGAATTAGCCCAGTTCTAGATGTATGGATTCTATTTCTAGTATCCCCAAGATTGATACTCTTGGTCCTTATCATTTGCCTTTGATGAGTTCTATATCCTCCACAAGATAAGGAATATCCACGTGCAAAGCTTGCAAAGTGATTTATGTACTTTAGCTCACTTAAAACCCATAATAGCTTCTTGTGGTAGCTACTATAGGTATTATTATTATTCCCATTTTATAGAAGAAGAAACTGAGACCCAGAGGGGTGAGGTGATATGTCCAAGGTCATACCACTATTAAGTGTCAGAGGCAGACTTTAAAAGCAACTGTTCTTTAAGCCAAGTTTAGCCTTCCAGGCCATGTTACTTCTCAAATGTACAATTTTACACACATACATACACACATATGTGTATGTTTATATACATACATATACACATATGAAAGTACATATGTATATATATATAATATATATATATATACTTATATACATACAGTGTTTCTCCCCCTCTCCTCTGCTTATCCTGTTCCTTTCAAATAAGACATATTTTACAGAGCCGTAATTGTGTCATGGTCTTAATTCAGGAAGTTACAGAAATACCCAGAAGGACCTACTTTCCTCTTTGCTATAGGATCTTTATAGTTTATCTTGAACTAGAGCAATCTTTAAAATATTTGAAGACGTTAGCCATGTCCCACCTATGTCTTCTTTTCTGCAAGCTAAGCATTCCTAGTTCCTTAATCTTCTATGCTGCATTATATCAAATTTCATCCCCATCTTAGTCACTATCTCCTGGAAATTTCTCACTATCTCCCCATAAAATGTGGTTCCCAGAATGATCATGATGGTGTACAGTGGAATTATGTGAACACTCCCTAGATCTGGAGACTATGCATTCATTAATATAGCCTAAAATAGCATAAGTGTATTTGGCTTCCAGGTAACACTTTTAACTCATGTGAAGCTATGTTGTAGCTGTTCAGTAGTTTCAGCCATGTCTGACTCTTTGTGACCCTGTTTGGGATTTTCTGGGCAAAGGAGTAGTTTGCCATTTCATTCTCAAGCTCATTTTTTGCAGATGAGGAAACTGAGGCGGACAGGGTCAAGCGACTTACCCAGGGTCACACAGCTAGTAAGTGTCTGAGGTCAGATTTGAACTCAGGAAGATGAGTCTTCCTGACTCTAGGCCCAACGCTCTATCCACTGGACCACCTAGCTGCCCCATGAAGCTATGAGGGCCACTGCACCATGTCTCTATTTCTATAGTTGGGTAGTTCGATTTTTGAACCTAAGTGTAGGTCTTGGCCCTGATCATTATGAAGCTCTATCTTGTTAGAAGAGTCCCTTATTCCAATCATCAAAATCCTTTTGGATGATGATTCTGTCATTCAATATGGTAGTATATTTCTCCTACTTTTGTGTCATCTGGAAGTATAAAAATGCCACCTTTGCTGTAAGCCAAAGGATTAATAAAAATGTAGAGCAGAACAGAGGCAAAGACTGATCCCTGAGGCACTTGAATAGAAACCCCCCTCCAACTACATCAATACTCTTTTTGGGTACGATCTTGAATGAAGAAGTGACCTTTCTCTTTGCCAAGGCAAGCCCTTCTACCCTTGATCCCACCACCTCCCATCTTCTCCAGCAGATTTCTTCTATTATCATACCCATTCTCTATAGTCCTCAATGTCATTCCATCAACTGGCTCTTTCCCTGCTATCTACAAACACATTTGTTTCTTTCTCGTCCTTAAAAAACCCTTGTCTGATCTGACCATGCCCAATCCAACCACATCCCATCTCGTATTTCTCCTTCCCTTCTTGACTAAACTCACCGAGAAAGCCATCTACAATTGGGGCCTTTACATCCTTTCCTCTCCTCTTTAACCTTTTGTCACCTGGCTTTCGGGCTCATCCAATTGAAACGGCCCTTTCTGAAGTTACCAGTGATGGTTAAATTGCCAAATCTAATGACCTTTTCTCAATCCTCATCCTTCTTGAGCTCTCTGTAGTCTTCGACATTGTTGATCACAATCTCCTCTTGGCCACTCTTTCTTCTTTAGGTTTTTGGGACACTCTTCTCTCCTTGTTCTTCTTCTTCTTTTTTTTGTCTGACTACTCCTGGTCAGAGCTTCATCCATGGCATTCCCACTAATCTATCACATAGCCCCATTAGGCTGAGGGTCTTTCTTCCTTTACTTCGAAGTCACAGCCTTCTACCTCTGCCTTTTAACACAGGTTTGGATTTGGAAGATCTGTGTCTTCTCAGATTATTTTTCCTCCTTGTCTTCCTCTTAAATATTTTCTTTCATTTTTTTTCGAGAAACTTTTTATTCCTTCATTCTCCATGGCAGCAGGAACCAAACTGTGTGGGCCCTTGCATGGCAAGCTAAGGATTTTCAACTCCATTCATCAGGCAATGGAGAATTATTGAACATTTCTGAGTAGAGGAAGGAAGTGATCAGAACTGTGCATTAGGAAGATTGATCTGGCAAGGACATAGAGGATAGATGAAATGGAGGAAGGAAGACTGGTTAGAAAACTTTTGCAATTACAAGCTCCCTCTTTTTCCTTGCAAAGGTGAGGGACTGTGGGTGTGGAACCCTACATATTCTGTCAAATTCAGTTGATGCTTTGCTTGGTTTTGTCAAATTGCTTTTTTTTTCTTTCTTTTTCATTCTTTGTCATAAGGGATGGCTAACTGCATGGGGAGGTGGAAGGGTTATACACAGAAATGAAGGTGATATAAAAATAAAATGTTTTTTTTCTTAAGCAGAAGTCTTCAAATAATACCTCAAACACATACTAGCTGTGTGACCTTGGGAAAGTCACTTAATCTCTGTTTTAGTTTCCTCTTTTTTTTTTTGTTTTTTTGGCTAGGCAATGGGGTTAAGTGACTTGCACAGCTAGTAAGTGTCAAGTGTCTGAGGTCGGATTTGAACTCAGGTCCTCCTGAGTCCAGGGCTGGTGTTCTATCCACTGTACCACCTAGCTGCCCCCTTAGTTTCCTCTTCTATAAAATGGGAATAATAAAACCATCTGCCTCCCAGGTTTGTTGTAGAAACAAAATGAGATAATGTTTGTAAAGCACTCTATAAACTTTAAAATACTATATAAGTGATGTAAGTTATTATTACTACACCAACTACACTTTTTAGGTTTTTTTTTCCTCTTCCTAATTTGTTTTTCATCTGCTTCCCTTACTCATAAATGTTTTTTTGATTGGGTAGCAGATAGTCCTGGAAACCAAAATCGTATTGGAAAAACTCTTCTGAGCCCAAGCAGCACCTTGGGACAGATACCTTCCCCAGCCTCCTATAGGGCTTGGTCTCTTTTAGGGAAACCACCACTTTAGAGAGTCAAAAGAAAATCATTTACTCAGTGCCTTCTCCTTTGCCAAAGAACATAGAAAATAGGATCGTGGAGTCAGAGCTAGAAGGAACCCTTAATTTTATAAATGGGGAAATTGAGGCTCAGATAAGCTAGGTGACTTGTTCATGATCTCAGAGCTAAAGGTCAGATGCAGGATTTGAACCCACATCTTCCTAACTCTAAGTCTCGTATTCTTGCAGGCCTTGTTGGTGTCGTTAGAGTAGTCTAGGAGAAACAAGTTTCTTGGCTGGGCTAGGGCACAGAAAAGGGCTGAATAGATGTCATGTGGTAATCTGTTTGCTTCAGTCACCAGGACAAAAGGAACCTATGTCCCTGTTGACAATGGATCAGCTTGAATCTCCTACTTCTGGAATCTTGATAATCATTTGAAAGGTTTCAAAACTCCAACATTTCAGGTCCTGCTTCCTCGGGTATTTCCCCCCCCATGGATGATCTTGGGAGAAAATCAATGTGAAAGTGAAACCTGCCACTTACATATAGCTTCCCAAGTCTGAGATGACCACATGAGCTATAGGTCAAAGGCTCCACCCAACATGAAAGCCCAGGGCATCAATCCTAGAGAAGAATGTGTCATGCTCTGGACTGTGAGCCTTATTTCAGAAAAAACACTCTTACTGTGACTTCCCCCAAGACGCTCTAACTCTTCTTTAAACAGGTGGGTTGTAGTAACAGTTAAATTTTAGATGTTTAGGCACGTAGAGGATTCATTGAATAGAGAACTGGGCCTAGAATCAGGAAGACCTAAGTTCAAATTCAGCCTCAGACATTTACTAGTTATGTGACTCTGGACAAGTCACTTAACTTCTGTCTGCCTCAGTTTCCTAATCTGTAAAATGGGAATAAAAATAGCACCCATCTCAGAGTTGTTATGATGATGAGCTAACATTTGTAAATGGCTTTCTTTACAAACCTTAAAACGCTACATAGATGCTAGCTGCTATTATTATATCTACTTTGGTCAATTCATTTTGATACGATGCATTATACTAATTCTTACGCTATTCCTATTTGCTAGAACAGCAATAACCATAAAATCAATAATGACAATAATAGCTAGCATTTATTTAATGTGTTAGATTTCACATCACTCTTTACATTCTTATCCCATCTGATCTTTGATCTTGTTGGCTTTTTGTTTCTTTGCTATGGTAAGGGACAGAAGAGGGACAGAATAGATGTCACATGGTACCTGTGAGCTTTGTTCACCAAGACAAGAAAGACCTATGTCCCCTTTAACAATGGATCAACTCATGCTTGCTTCGGTAGCACATATACTGAAACTGGAATGATACAGAAAAGGTTAGGATGGCCCCTGCACAAGGAAGACATGCAATTTCGTTAAACATTCTATATTTTAAAAAAAATGAATCAGCTCAAGACCAAGGCAATAATTACTAAGAGTCTGAAACTGATATACTTCTAATAGGCTGTCCTTGTAAATAAAACACATTTTCTCCACTCTAAAGAATAACATGGAGGTGAAGGCTAGCATTGAAACACCCTTCATTTGTTCTCAGGGGCAGTGTCCATACCTGATCCACAGACAACAAAAACAAACAGTGCCAGCAGCCACGGGCCCACAGGGTATTTCTCTTCTTGTGGTCTCTAAAATGGAAGGGAGCAGAGAAAAGAGAATTAGATTTGCCTTATTTAAAAAAAAATAATTTGCCTTTTAAGTTCACATGTAAAGGCAGATCTTGAGGTTAACTTATATCTACTTCCAACTTCTGAATTGATGAAGAGTATCGGTTAATAGTATTGAGAGACAGGGACAGAGAGAGAGACAAAGAGAGAGAGACAGAGAAGAAAAGAAGAAGAAGAAGAAGAAGAAGAAGAAGAAGAAGAAGAAGAAAAAGAAGAAGAAGAAGAAGAAGAAGAAGGAGGAGGAGGAGGAGGAGGAGGAGGAGGAGGAGAAAGAGAGAGAGAGAGAGGGGAGAGAAGAGAGAAGAGAGAAGAGAGGGAGAGAGAAAAAGAGCAAGACAGGGAGGGAGAGAGAAAGAAAAGAGAGAAAGAAGGAGAGAGAGTTAATCAAGTTAATTTCTTTTTCCTTTCTCATAATCTCCTTTTATAAGACCACCAGCAAAGGCCCTGATAAAAATATCCTGAATTGGAGGAGATTTCAGCATCACAGAATCATATAGTTTCGAGCTATAAAGGAATTTAGAGATCCAGCCTAGAGGTTCTTCATGGTTTTTGTGTCATGGGCCCCTTTGAGAATCTGCTGAAGCCTCTGGAGCCTTTCTCATAACAATGTTTTTAAATGTATTAAATAAAATCCATAGGATTACAAAGGAAAACAATTATATTGAAATAAAGCTATCAAAATATTTTTTTTTAAAAAGTCACAGACCCCAAGCCAAGAACCCTTGATCAAGTCCAGCTCTCACTCCCCATCTTCCCCCCTGACATTTTGCAAATGAGAAAACAATGACCTAGAGAAAGTCCATACCTCACTGAAGGTCACACAGACTGCAAGGAGGGAATCAGGGCTCAAGCCTAGGATCTTTTACTCAAGAAAAGTATCAGCATTCTACAACAGGGTTTCATACAACTGGACTAGAAGTTGAGACCTGGTTTCTAATGTTGCTCTTGTCATTCACTAGCCGTAGGAGCTGGGCAAGCTGTTCAGCCTCCTGAGGCCTCAGGTCACCAAGCAGGAGTTTCCTCACCTGCAAAATGACTAGATTTATCTCTAAGGGGCCTTCTAGCTCTGACATTCTATGATCTGTGAAAGTTTAATCTAAACCTTTCTACATGAAACAATTCCCTCCAAACTTTCCTTATAAAAATAATTTTCCTTCCTTGCATAGATTTCATCCATCCCAGGGAATCTCCAAACCCATTTGTACTTGGAGGTAGCATGCTGTATGAGCATGATGGTCCAAGAGTCAAGGAAGACCTGGGTTCAAAGCTTGCCTCTGACATCTGTTGTGTGTCCTTGAGTCAATTACTTAACCTCTCTTAGCTTTAGTTTCCTCATCTGTTTAATGAGGATAATACCTCTAGTATCTTCTTCGTAGGGCAGTTAGGAGGATCAAAGAGAGAATGTATATAAAGTACTATGTACATGTCAACCGTCATCATCATCATCATCATCTTTGTCATCGTCATCATGGCAAAAATATAGCCTAACAAATAATTTCACTGAATACTTGGAAGTGCTTAAATCAATCAATCAATGAACAAACATTATATATATATATATGTATATATGCATGTATGCATGTTTAGTTGATTATGCCCAAAAGATCCAGAAAAAGCATTGCCAAGACAAAGCTAAAAGGGACAAAAAAAAACCCAAAGGAGACAAAATTACATTCTTATTAGCTTTGGGCCAAATAGGTCTTGACTAAATATAAGCCTAAAAAGACAGGCTATGTTCAAAAAGCTTTCACCAGTTTTTTTGGATTGATCTGGGATGATTTACTTAGTTGAAATATCTCATTAGTGGTTTAAGGCTTAGTGGGGAAAAAAACCAACCAATCTTTTAGATCAGGTAGAGAGGATTGAGACATTCCTTCTTCTTCAACTTCAACTCCTAACGGGCAACAGATTGGGTTTTGAGTAAATGATTTTCTCAGTGGCTTGCTTTAATGTGTAGATGTCAGGCAAATTTTGACTAAAGAAGAGATGGTTCATGGAGGGAGATGAAGAATTCTATCTGATTTAATCATCCTCTCAAGTCACCATGTTGCCTCTGACCCAACATAGTGAGGGAGAAATCAGTCTGAAATAACTGAAATTGATAACTCTAAGTGAAGACTTCACAGTGTGGCCATTACATTTGGTCTTATGGCCCAGTCTACCCTACAGATAAAGTCTAGTCATGGCGTATAGTCTACTATAGCCCACATTAAACTAGTCTGAGCTAGTTTAATAAAAACTAGTTCTGCAGGTGTTTTCCCACACTTGCTAAAGAAGTTGCTTTGCCTATACAGCTAGTTGAAATGAAAAAAAAAAAAGAATTTAGGAACCCAGAAATGACTTGCTAACTGGAATGAAGTTCCTTAATCTACAGGAAGAAAAACTTTTAGACAGAAACTTGAAATTGGGTTAAAGAGCTCCCCAAATTTCTGAATCATAATTCATCAGAGTTCCATAATTTTTTTTTCAATAGCTGATACCTGTCCATCTTAGATTCCATTATTAGTTTTGTTGGCTCTAGGTGTATTTGCCATCATCCTGTCTGGGAATCCAGTGAATCCTGAATCCAAGTGTTAGGTAGATAAGGGTTTTTGATCAATACCTTTTGGTAAAGGAGCACCATCCTTGTGGAGCCAATACAATGCAAAATCTGTGCTTTAGCAGATAAAGTTAATCCCTTGTAGCTCTCCCTATGATTTTAAGAGGGTAATTCAGAATGCTCCTTATCTAATCCTTTTCTGTGGACAGACAGTGGCCTCAGCATCAGGATGGAGATTCTGACTATGTAACCCTAGGGAAATCACTTAACCTACCAGGGCCCCCAGACAACTGTATAAGACTCCATAGCAAAACAGGTGTGGTCCACATTGGTTGATGCCCTCACATGCCCAAACTAAATATGCTGCCTGAAATTTTAGATGGAATACATTTCAAATCTCCTAACTTATTGACAGAATCCCAGAACACAGACATTATTACCAGTCTAATTGTTCTTACTAGGGATTGGGAAAATCAATTTTCATTGTTTTCTTTTGAGAGAATTTCATCTCACCTAGAAGGGGCTAATTCATTTACATCAAAATTAGCTAGAAAACTAGCAGAGAAATGAAGTAAACAGTCCCTCCAGTTATATTCAAATATTACATACAAATGTTCCCCTTGGCAAGGAAACCTTTCACTTCAAGTTGGTATCACTTTGCTGCCACTTAAGTCATCAGGTAAATGCTCAGGAACATTCCTTCCTCCTTAATATTAAAACAAAACAAAACAAAACAAAACAAAACAAAACAAAAAACCCCTTTCCTCTAGTGTGACCTGGAGGAGAGATTATCTCTTAAGCTTAAGGTTGAAAGTACGTGCTTGAATATTAATTAGCACAGCAGGTCTCTACTGAGCGAAATTAGATAAGGAGACATATTTCAGTGAAAAATGTTTCCCATTCAATGGCACTGTAGAGCCTAGGCTGGAAATTTTACTACCAACAGCTCAATGTAATGTCCTAATAAATCACTGAAAAGACAGACAGGGAGTAGTTTAACTTGGAACTCAAGATTCAAAGTGAAGTTCAGTTTATGCCCAGAGTTTCTCTGACATTGCATGCATTCTGATTTGGCATGGGTTCTATGAAGCATGGTGTTAGCAGATCTTACTTTTGGACAGTTACACAAATCATCAAGAAAAGATATTGTCTAATCTGCTCAGCTGACTTTTCTAGTCAAACCTCCAAGTCTCTATGGAACTTCCACTCTAGCAAATGGGATAATAAATAAGAACTGGGGAAAAACCAAAGCAAACAAACAACTCCTCTCCCCTCCCCCCACCTAGACCTAGCTTGAGGGTGTGATTTCCAATTCTTGTCCTAATCTGAGTTTTTTGTTGTTCAGTCGTTTTCAGTCCTGTCCAACTCTTCATGACCCCATTTGGGGTTTTCTTGGCAAAGATGCTGGAGTGGTTTGCCATATCCTTTTCCTGCTCATTTTACAGATAAGGAAACTGAGGCAAACAGGGTTAAGTGACTTGTCCAGGGTCACATAGCTAGTAAGTATCAGAGGCCAGAGTCTTCCTGACTCCAGGTCAAGTACTTTATCCACTGCACCACCTAGCTGCACCTCGAATCCAAGTTATCTTTCCTCTAATAATATGGCTTTCATTCTTTCCCAGGATACTTCACTGTTTGGAAGATTCCTTCAAAGATGGCTCAAACTGAGCCCTTTCTGTGATCTCATCCTGCTTTGTAGTCCACCATAACCAAGACATAAAACAGTATCAGAATGATTTGTTGCTATACTAGCTAGGATCCTCTACCCACTTCTGCTGACCCAGCTACGAGTCTGGGCAGCCCCAGCCACAGGAATGAGAAAGTCTGTTGGGCCAAGTTACTGGCCTAGAGCAGTGGGAAAAGCCTTGGATTTGGAATCAGAGCGTTGAGGTTGGAATTCCATTCTCTGCCACCTTAGGGGAAAGTCACTTAGCTTTAGGGTGTAAGGTCCCTTCCAATTCCAAAACTATGATTCTATGTTCCTAAAATCTCTAAGGTCCTTTCTAGTTCAAAATCTTACAATCCCTTGGTTCCCTTCTTTAGGTAATTCATTACCCTCTCGCCAAGTTTCCTCAGTTTGGGAAAAGGGTCTTTATTCCTTGCCTCCCTCTATTCCCAGGTCCACAGTCCATGGTATCCCCATCCTCACTGGAGAGAAGCAGCATATGGCAGAATATATGAAGATGAAGGGATTCATGCTCAGCCTTAGGGAGAAAGAAAGTCAGCTTCTGAGATGCACCCCCTCCCCAACCCACCATAGCACAGCATCCATGTCCTGCCTTACCAGGGTTTTGGCTACGTTCCCTCTCTGTGTGATGTTTTTGCTGTGCTTCTTGTTAGCCATCCGGATCCGCTGTTTGGCCACCATTGCTTGGCTGCTTTTAATTGTTTTAAACTCCTTCTTTCTCTCTTCTTTCTTTCTTTCCTTCCTTCAAGTTTCCTTCCTTCTTTCTTTCCTCCCTCCCTTTTCCCTTCTCCTTTCTCTTTCTTCCTTTCTCTTCTTCCTTCCTTCCTTCCTTCCTTCCTTCCTTCCTTCCTTCCTTCCTTCCTTCC